TGCTACATAGACAGGTGGAGATTCCAAGACAGAGGTCCTACCTGGGTTCAATTCCCCCAGCACCCACCTGGTGCCTCACATCCTCTCTATAATGAGATCTGGTGTCCTCTGGCATGCAGACATACATACATGCACTGTGTACATAATAAATAAACCTAAAAAAAAGAATCTTTGCCTTAATCATAGGCCTACAAAAATAAAAACCTCCAATCTCTTTTTAAAATTAGTGAATAGCACTAGGGACAATAAACAGATGTAGTCTCAATAAAATCAAATATAAAAAGAAAAGGAAAGAAATAACATCTTTAAAATTCTTTTTACAAATCTGTATTACCCTTATACCAAAATCAAGACCCAACCAAAAAAGAATTTGATAATCACTCTGATGAACATCGACACAAAAATTCTCAGTAGAATCTTGAAAAATGAATTGAAGATCACATAAAAAGGTCATCTACTATGACCAAGTTGGTTTCATGCCAGAGATTTGGAGACGGCTCAATATATGTAACAGAATAAATGTAATCTATTGTATAAACAGGCTCAAGGACAGAAAACACATGATATCTCAGCAATGAAAAAAATGCCTTTGACAAAGCCCAACATCACATTGTGATCAAAGCTGTGGAGAATTTGGAGGTATGTGGGATATATCTCAATATCGTAAGGATAATATATGACAAGCCCATAGGCAAAAAATCATGTTAAATGGAGTGGAAAATTAAAGCATTTCCATTAAAATCAAGACAAGAGTGTCCATTCCCTGTTCAAGGTAGTGCTTGAAGTCTTAGCTAGAACTAAAGAGACAAAGAAAAAGGGAATACAAATCAGAAATAAAAAAAAGTGGAAGTATCCTATCTGCAGATGATGTGATTTTTTTTATGGTTTATTTAGCTTTATTTTATGTGCATTGGTGTGAAGGTGTCAGATCCCCTGGAACTGGATCTTCAGACAGTTGTGAGCTGCCATGGGGGCACTGGGATTTGAACCCAGGTCCTCGGGAAGAGCAGTCAGTGCTCTTAAACGCTGAGCCATCTCTCCAGCCCCAGATGATGTGATTTTAAGTGTACATAGGATCCCACTCAAAATCCCACATTCAGCGAAGTAAAAAATTAACACAAAAATCAGTACTTTACAATATATCAATAATAAACAACCCAAGAGATAAATCATCACAATAAGATAAAAATCTTTTGAAATAATCTAGCCAAGAAAATGAAAAAAGACTGTACAATGAAAATGTTAAGAGCCTTTAATCCCAGCACTCAAGAGATAGAGGCAGGCTGATCTCTGTGAGTTTGAGGCCAGTCTGTGCTACACAGCGAGTTCCAGGACAGCCAGGGCTACACAGAGAAGCCCTATCTCAACCCCACCCCCAATGTTAAAGTATTGAAGAAAGGAACTGAAGAAGATATCAGAAGGTGGCAGTGCCTCACTTGCTTGTGGATGGTAGGATTAATATTATGAAAATGACTATCTTACCTAAAGCAATCTATAGATCTAATTGTTGGGCGGATCTACTTGCAGATGTCCTACAGCTTAGCTATCTAGTAGTCAGCGGGTTAGAGTGCCTGGATTTGTGACCCAGTGTCTGAGAGAGCAATTGTCTGTGTGGTCAGCAGAAGGCTGTGATCTTGGACTCAGTGGTCAATTTAAATGAGCTGGGTGTTCAGTCCACAGTACCCTGCTTCCTTTGTGGTCCCTAAAGTAGTTTTATCTAAAACACTGGTGTGGCTCGCTATGGCTCACACTGCCCACTGCCTTATCATCTTCTGTGAGGTTGTGAAAATCCTACAAAAAGTGCAACCGTGTGGCCTTGAGAGGACCGTCTGCATTCATCTGCGTGAGGCTGCCCCTGAAATCAGAACATTTCCTCTCTCTGATGTCACGAGGGGAGTGCAAAGCAGGCTGGCTGGCACGATGGCTTCCTCCCCTTTTGTATCTGAAAAGATAGAGAACCGGAACTTCTAGCTTCGTTCTTTGTTCTGCAGGCTGTGCAGCCTGAGCACCCTGTGCAGCCTACGCAGGTCATGCAGCCCACGCAGGTTAATGCAGCCTGTGCAACCTGAGCAGCCTCTGCAACATGAGCAGCCTACGCAACTTGAACAGTCTGTGCGTGCAGCCCAAGCAACCTACACAGCTTACGCAATTCTTGAGCATGTAGTTGTCCTAGCAAGCTTTACTAGAGCCACCTCGGAAGCTCTTTCAGGGCCCCCAGCTATCTTAGGGTAGGTTGAGATATAAAGCCAAGGTTCTGTGTGAACTCAGAGGGAGCCTGCCTTCCAAAGAAAGGCGCTGACGTATGGGATCAACTTCGAAAACCGCAGAAGTAGACCACGAGCAAATGGAACAGATGTCTCCGGGTATGTCCACTGAGAAATGCTGCCGCCACTGCTTCAAATCCAGGCTCTCTTACGGAAATTCTCAGCCGGAAACCACCAAGGGCAATATTGCTCTATTGAGATAGAGTCTTACTCTAACCCAGGAGCCAAATCACTCCCTGCTAACATAGAGGGAAACCAGTGGACTTTCTCCAAGCATTGAGTCTTCTCTAGAAAGGATGGGCACATTTAAAGCGAGAAACACCCTCTGAGATGTGGGGTTTCTGTTCCTCTTCCCTTGTTCTAGGACACAGTCCGAATTTGCTTGGCTTCCCCACCAGGTGGCGCTGTCTACTCATAAATAAGCACAAAAAGTCCAAGCTTGCTTTTTATTTTTAATCAATTTGTTTATTTGGATTTTGAGATAGGGTCTCACAATGTAGCTTTGGTTAGTATGAAATTTGCTATTTAGACCAGGATTTCTCGAACTCACAAAGATCTTCCTGCCTCTGCCTACTTATTAGTGGGACAGCACCACGACACCCTGCCAAAATTGCCTTTTGAGAACCAGTGGCAATCCTCCTGTCTCAGTCTCCCGAGTGTTTAGGGCTCCCCATGCCCCACCAATGCTCTGAATTGGTTGTTAAACATACCAGTGCACCGGTGATCAGAATGAGCCTACGCTGATTGGGAAAGTGAGGCCGGCAGTCCCACACTTAATGAGGGAATTTGGAGATGAGTAAGGAGAATTGAGATGATCCAAAGGTGCTTTATCTGTCCCCAACAATGTGTTAAGTGTTGCCAGACTGAAAAATCCAAAGATCTGGTACCCCAAAACTTCTCAACTCTCTCGGGAATCCATAACCCACAGGACAAAGGCTCGGCGTGGTCAGGGTTTCCTGGATGGAGTGGACACAGCTCTGCCAACTAGGCGGCGACACAGCTCCCCATAGACTTTAAGTCAACTGGGGCTCCCATATCCTGGGCCAGTGGAGAGAAGGTAGGTTCGGTGGACTGGGATGGGCGAAGGGTGCTGGGTTGGGGTGAATCTGCCCCAGGGCCTGGAGCCCCCGCCCGCCCTTCCGCCTCTACTTTTCCCACCCTTGTCCTCGTCCCCACCTGTTCCCCCTCCCCCAGACGCCCCCTCCTCTACGTCTACCCGCCCCTCTCGCGCCGGTGAGCACTTCCGGCACCGCTCTGGGCTTCACAGAGCTCTCATCACCTGTGCTCCTGCTGCTGAGCCAGGCTGCTGGTTGGCGGGGTGTCCTCGCGTTCTGGCGGTGGAGAGAGTCGAGTAGAACCCACATTGGACAGAGTGCACAGGAAAATACTGAGATTGGGAAAGGCAAATCTAGAACCTTAAATAACTGCCGCGCCTTCTTTCAAGGGTAATCCTGGACTTGCACGTCGCGGCGTCCCCACCCCCACTCCCACGCCCGCGGGTGCAGCCCACATAAGGCTACTTAGCGATGAAGGGGATTAAAGATTGAAGGACCCAAAGATAGTCAAGATTGTAAGCTCTGGATCCCCAAATGCTGCATCTAGGTGCTCACCTCCAGAAATGAGGCACTTCCTGTTTGTTTGGTTGGAACTCACTCTGTAGACCAGGCTGGCCTCTGCCTCCCTAGTGCTGGGATTTAAGGTGTGTGCCATAACCGCACGCTTTTTTTTTTTTCTGGGGTGGGCACTTCTTAGAGACACCAGGGAAAAAGCTGAGTATGTGTGTGTGTGGGGGGGGGGGTTGTTATGTGTGTTTGCTTTTACTATCCTGGGGACTGAGACTAGTGCCACTTTTTATGCTAGGCAAATATTCTTTCGCTGATCTAGAACACCCAGCCCAGGAATTTTGTTTTGGTTCGAGAGAAGGTCTCACTATGTATCTATCCTTGGCTGTCTGGAACTTCCTATGTAAACCAGGCAGGCCTTAAAATCACAGAAATCCACCGAGTGTTGGGATGAAAGCCATGAGCTACCACGGCTCAGGAATCTTTCTGAAGGTTCCAATCTCACTTAGTTCAGCTTCTGAGAGCACTGTTGGCCCTACCTACCGTTAATTGTGCCACCCCTTGATGCATAACTGCTCAGGTGTGGTTACCCATCTGTGGGAAATCTTCTCCAGGGAAAGCAGTAGAACACACTGTCCCTGAGGAGGACAGAAACCGCATAATCTGTTACCTGCTTTCAATGTCCCCATTCCTGGCCCTCAGGGCCCTTCAGAGAACACCGGACCCTGATCATCAAGGCTCAGTAGAGATTTGTCCAAAGACTTCAGGGGAAGAGGCAGGGGCTGCCCCTCCTCCAAGCCATCAGCATCAATGCCTTGGGGACCGGCCACCCAAGAACAATGAGCGTTGAACCACAATCAGCCAAGTGGAGCTGGAAGGGTGGGGGGCAGAAAAGGTTAGTTCCCTTTTCTCTACCTTCAGTTCATGAGGTCATGGGGAGGTCAGGCATCAGGCTAAGCCCCTGGGGGTAGGGACAGGGCTGGGCCAGGTTCCCTCGGGGTCTCAGGTGTTTCCTCTTGACAGCAATCACCAGAATCCCAACTCCCATGTCCTCTGATCTGTTACTTTTTATCCCAGGATCGCATGATCATCATGTTGAATGTTATTAACTCATATTGCAAGAGAAAGAAAGCAAGACTTAGAGGAAAAAGAGAGGTCCAAGGTCAGGGGCAGAAGTGGGGGGACAAACAGAAGCCATTCATCTCATACCCCAGCCCTAGGGATCAAAGTTAGTTATTTATAGGCAATGGAACAAAAGTAGTCTGCGTCGTCCTCCGGCTGCACGGGGCTGATGGTCAGCACACAGACATTGTGGGCCACGTCCGCAGTAGCAGAGAACCTGTCGGGAATGTCATCAGGCCGATAGTGCTCCTCTTCTGAGTGGTAGTAGAGCAGATGGGGAGCACTGCCTGGGCGCTGCTGATACCAAGACACGCCAAAGTCCCCAATGGTGGCATGCTGAGAATTGATTGTGCAGCTGAGTTGAACCACTTGGCCTGGGAAGACCAGTACTGCGTCAGGATAGGTCAGGGTTGGCTGGAAGACTGAAAGATACAAACCCACTGAGGGCTAGCCTGGGCCCCTTCCTTCCTTACTGTGAATATTTTGTCAGACCCCAAGGAGACTCTCACTCCCAAAATTTTCATAGCGCCAGAGGACTGGCCCTGGATGGGTCAGGGAGGCCTGGTTCCCTGAAGCTTAGTGTGCTCTCTCTACAGCTCCGTTTTCCTCTGTGAATGGGGGCTTTGGAGTAAGTGGCCCCTAAATTAGCATTATCATCATGTCTCCAATAATCCATGTTCAGCTAAGAGCCTTGTATGCGATCATGGGACTGGAACCTTCTGGGCCCCTCTTCTCTGAGGACCTCTCAATCTACTAGCTCTCCCAAACCCTGGCCACAGGCTAATTGTCCCCAGGAACCTCCCAGGATGCATAACCATCATCTTTATTTTCAAGCTTCTGACCACATGGTGTAGGGGACTATCCATGTTAACATCCGCTGTGAGAAGCAAAGGTGACCAGTTATCGTCTCTTCAAAGGGTCAGTGTAATCAAGGTCCACACAGGAACGTGTCCTGCCCCTGGTCCTAGACAGAGCTCCCTGGAGCCTGGCCTCTACTCCACCTCTCTGCCTTTCCTAGGATCCACCCCACTGGCGCTACTGATCTGCTTCTTTGTGTGGGCTTTCTTGAGCGAGTGCCAACCCCCATCTCCCTCCCGGAGGAGTCTTACCTGCCAAAAAGGCACCAATCAGAAGGAAAGGCAGGCAACCAGGGCAGGCCATGGCCAGAGGCACAAGACTGTACCAGAGTTGCCCTGATGTGTGTGCTACGCTCGCTCTGGGTGCTTATGGCTCAGGGATGGGGAAGCCTCTTGACCACAATAGAGCATGCAAATCAGCCCGCTGATTAAAGAGGATGTGTTGCACAGTATCAGGCCCTGTCTTCCAGATGTCCCGAAACACAGCCAGGGGGAGATCAGAAGTTCAGTAGCCTTCAGGTCCAGGGCCAAGAAGTTGAAATTCCCCAGAGAGTATCCCCATACTCCTTTCTAGTCATTAACAGTGTCTACCCACTAGAATAGGGGTTCTCAACCTGTGAACCTGTGGGTCCTGATCCCTTTGTGGCAGGGCAGGGGGGTAGGAGGCCCTTCCACAGAGGTCACCTAAGACTATCGGAAAACACAGATATTTACATTAAGATTCATAACAGTAGCAAAATTACACCAATGGAGTATCAATGAAAATAATTTATGGTTGGAGGTCACCACAACAAGAGGAACTGTATTAAAGGGTCACAGCATTAGAAAGGTTGGGGACCGTTGCTCTAGAATGTCCTCACAAAGGCCCAGGTGTCCCTGGCTTGACAATGTTGAGGGTAAAGGCCTCGTGGGACATTTTTTAGAGCAAGAAGACTATTCCCTTAAAGGGTCTAGAGGGACCACAGATTCTTCTCTCTTGCTACCTGGCCTGCCCTGACTTCACTCCACCCCTTGATACTGCCATGACGCACTGCCTTGCTATGACAGGCCCAGAAGCAACGGTGCTGTGGACTGAAACTCCAAACCTATGAGTTAAAGCTAACCTTTCCTCTATGAGTTGATTATCTCAGGGAAACTGACTAATAGAACCTTCAAAGGAACAGTCATTTTGGGTTTTAGCACATTAGGTTACTTTTGTGGGCTGTAGAAATTCTACTCTAAGTAGAATATATACATATGTGTATGTATATACACATATATGCGTCTATGTATTCTTATATATAAATACACACATATACAGATATATATAGGTACACATATGTGTGTATGCATGTTTGCTTCTTTTGGCCAACATTAAGAGTCAACCATGTGGGCAGGGCACAGTGGTGCACGCCTTGAATCAGGCCAGCTGCCTAACTCTGAGACAGGGGAGGGAGATCAAGACAACAGCACAGGCAAAGGCAACTCTCACAACTCTCGGAGCTTAGGGTTCCTGTCCTACAGCTGCCTTCCTTCCAGATTCTGTGTCTTGGTGCCATTGTCTCCAAGCTTCAGGCATCTAGGTTGTGCTCTGTAGGATGTTAGCCCTCACAAAGTAAGCTCTGGAAATACTACTCGCCTCTACGGTACTGCTCTGAGGACCGAGATGGTTTCTAAAGTGCTACGAACGACATTTATGATGGGCACGGTGGCACCCACCTCTAGTCCAAGCACCCATCAGGCTGGAGGAGGTAGAACTCTGAAGGAAGAAGTGAAAGAAATAAACTGATGTTGCTATCTTTTTTTTTCCTAAGGAACTTACCAATAAGCTTGCCTCAAAAATATTAAGATACACCAAGGTAAAATTTAGCAAAAGGAGCATGCCACTGCCAGGCAGTTTAGAGACGACGCCACCAATCAAACCCCATGCCTCTATCAGAAAGAGCATTCTTCTGCCGGCCAGACAGGAGGATCCTGGTTAACAGCTGCCCAGGAAATGCAGCTGTGCTCTGTCTTGTGCTAGCTCTGGCAAGAACTGTACATTGGAACTCTCCCCATTTGTCCAAATAACCAAACCTCAGGATTTCTGTCTCTGTAAAAGATGTTTAATTGTTCAAAGTGTAATTCGTGGTCATCAAACTAGAGAAGCAGAAAGGGATCTCTGCTCAAGGCTGGTTCCCTTCTGTACATTAGCCAGAACCAAGCAGAAAGGGATCTCTGCTTAAGGTGGTTCCCCTCTGGACATTAGCCGGAACAAGCCGTGCATGATTATTAAAAGGTTTCTGTCGTGATTTCGCACTGGGAAGGCATATTAACTCTGTGACATCATGAATCAAGACCATCTGGGCGACATACAGCACCCTGTCTCGAACAGCCGTCCCGACCAAAAGCCCTGTGAAAGCCTCAGTAAAAAAGGCACAAAGTCACAGCAAGCCTGTGTGCTCCGGTGTGCACTGCCCTTTCACAAATGCGAAGAGCGAGGCTAACAAAAGCGAAGGGTTTATCTAGGGGCTAAGCGGGTCCATGGTGAGCTGGACGGAGGACCCAGATTTCTTTCAATTTACCCAGCCTGAGATGTGCCGGCCGAAGGCAGCACAGAGAGCCTAACTATGGGGGTACCCGAAACACTATGCTTGGAGGGGTCTGAGGGAGGCTCAGAGAGAGACCATAGAAGCAGAGAGACAGGGGAAGCCACGTGGGAGAATGAAAAACAAGGAATGAGAAACAGAGTTTAAAAACTCAGAGGATAATCGCAGAGAGGGAAGACAAAACAAACACTAAGTGTGAGAGTGTAGAACAGACGAGAGACAGGGAGGGGGAGAATGAGACCTGCAGACGTGGGACTGCACATGAAAGCCAGCGTTGCTCAGAGAACTGGGGATTACAGCTCAGTGGGGCATTTGTGAGTCCCTGGATACAAAGCAAGCACGTGTGTGGGCGAGGGAGGGGTAGCAGGGACGCTAACCAGTAGTGAGGAGTAACAAGCCCGTGCCTCTGGCTGCTATAGATCTAGGAGGCCCAGAACCAAGAGACAGAAGGCGAGACAACGCAAAACAAGCCCTCATTGGAAAAGACATGAGTATGTTCTTACAAAGCTAAAGACATTCACCAGGCGGCCCTGCAGTTCTTCCTGTGGTACTCACTAGAGAAAGGAAAACTGCTCCCACAAGGACCCGCAGACAAAAGTTTACCGCAGTCTTATTCATGATCTCCCCAACTTCCAAAACAACAGCAGGTGAGCAAGTGAGTCAACTCCTGGACACACAAATGACTCAACACTCCTCAGCAAGAAGAGAGAAACAAAATAAATAAATGAATAAGTAAGTAAGTAAATAAATAAAAAGAGAGAGAAACAGCTATCTATACCAACAGCCTAGATCATGTTGAGTGAAGACACCACAGGCCATAGCTCTGAGCCCACTTACGAGACACCCTGGGAAAGATGCATAGGAAGGGGATGCCAGGGACTAGCGCTGAGTATCCGAGCCTCAACAACAGACAGAGAGCCTCTAAAGACGAAGAGGACTTGGGGAACTAAGGTAACACTGCGGGAGGGATATAGGAGCCATTCGGAGAGGCTGGAAGCAAGAGGAAGTATTTAAAGGTGAAATGGATTACATAAGGTATTTTGAAACAATAATCCTTGGCTACAAGGATCGATAACAAGGGTGGCCCGAGTCCAAGACTAAACACACAGTTGCTGGGTGGACGGCCTTGCAGGAGTCTTTCTATGTAAGGTTGTGGTGGCCTTTGTGCAAAGCTGTGGTTGCAGCGGTATTTTGTGGTTAGTTCTTGTCATTAGACATGCGTGCATAAAATTCCCAACTGTAGTCATCCAGCTGTAGTTATCTGAAGCAGGATGATGGAGGTTAAGGACTAGTTTTTCTTTTCTCTCTCTCTTTCGTTTTGGTTTTTTGAAACAGAGTTTCTCTGTGTAGTCCCAGCTGTGCTGCAACTCACTGTAGCCTCGAACTCCCAGAGATCCTCCTGCCTCTGCCTCCCAGGTGCTGGGATTAAAGGCATGTGCCACCACCGCCTGGCAGGTTAAGGGCTATTTTTATTCTCACAATTTCAAAGAATCACCTATGGGGAGGGAGGATGGAAACATTCTGTATCCCGGTTGTGGAAACTGGAGATTTGTTAAAACAGTACCAACAAGATGGCTCAGTGAGGGAAGAAGCTTGTCACCTAGCCTGACAACCTGAGTTCAATCCCAGGGACCCCCAAGGTGGAAGGAGAGAACCAGCTCCCACAAGTTGCCCTCGGACCTCCACACATATGCTCTGTGGTACATGCATGCGTACAAAAACGCTTACACAAAATGAATAATTATAAATAGATTTTTCTAACTTGAAAGCATTCCAAAGGGGAAAGTAAATTCTATCTCCATGAATGTGATTAGCAGGAGAGGACAAAAGGAAGTGAGAACAGAAAAAAAAATAATTGAAAGGGCCCAGGGCACTGGTGGTGCATGCCTTTAATCCCAGCACTCAGGAGGCAGAGGAAGGCAGATCTCTCAATTCGAGGCCAACCTGGTCTACAGAGTGAGTTCCAGAACAGCCAAGACTGTTACGTAGAGAAACCCTGTTTCGAAAAAACCAAAAAGGAAGGAAGGAAGGGGGGGGGGAGAGAAGGGGAGAGGGGGAGGGAGGGAAGGAAGGAAGGAAGGAAGGAAGGAAGGGGGCTGGGAGGGGGAAAAGGAAAGCCACACCAGAAGAGGTCTTTGGTGAGGGAGGGTGCTCACATCCCTGCAGCCTGTACACTCTCTCTCCCTGGTAGGGCACGTGGGCTCTGAAACAGTATCCAGGCATCCTAGGGACCTCAGTTCAGAGCCTCCTCTATCGGTCCAACAGGAGCTCCACCTGAAGGCCCGCCCCAGTAGGTCCAGTTACTAGGATACTGGGGATAAAGCATTTCCTGCCTAGATGTCTTGGCAGCTTCCACTGCCATGGAGACCACTGGGAGCTGAAGGAGCTGCTGGCACCCAGAAAGCAGCAGCAGAAGAAAGTGGTCTTTGACTAGCTGAGCAAGTGGGTGAACAGGGGCCAGACCTGAGCCGGGAGCCAACCCACCTACTCAGCAATTCTCACATGCAGTTCCCAGGTGGGAGCTGAGGAGAGAAGCAGCAGGAGGAGGGGGCTCAGAGACCCACGATCTGCCTGTCTCCTTTCCGCAGCCATGTTTATCACTGTGATGTTTGGAGGTAAGCAGGGTCCCCTGTCCTGGAACAGGGGCCATACTCAAGAGTTGTTCGTCCCTCTATCCTAGAGAACCCAGGAAGGGGAGGTACAGGCTGGGAGGGGCATGGGAATTTGAGGAAGCTGTTCCTATGAGGAGGCAAAGCAATGCCAGTTGTGGTCCCCAGTCCTCTACACAAGAGATGGATGGAAAGCTCTCCAATGCACTTCGAACAGCATTTGCTTAGAGTAATAGGCCTGGAGCACAGTGCTAGCCCCATAATCCTAGTGTTACCTCTAGGCATGGGAGTTCTCCTCGTTGGGCAAGGCCCTGACATCCTACCCACTCCGCTATGCCCCTCCCTCAGCTGATTGTCGCATGCTAGTGAACTCCTGGTGCAGCCTGGTGACCTTCATTGTGCATCTGAAACAGAAGGCTCAGGTGCCCCCAGAAGGTGAAAAGACCTGGAAGGCCTGGGGGGAGGGGGAATCTCAGGGTCCCATGCCCGGGTGCAGCCTGCCCAGCTTATTCCCATTTCTGCCCAGTAACCATTGCTCTCCTGGCTGAAGACGGGCGCCTGGTGAGGCTGGAAGAGGGGACGGTCCAGGCCCCTTCCATGGCCTGTTCCCTGCTGCAGGAGCAAGGGACCTATGTCCTTGTACGGATCATTAGTAAGTAGAGCCCAAAACTCTCCTTTGCAGCTATGCTGGACTATACGGGAGGGACAGCGGGCCACAGACCAGCTAAGATCCTGTTCAGTCTCATCCTTGACTGGATCCTATACCTAACCATCCCTATCCAGTGCCTAGGCCAGGTTTCTATGGGAACCACCAAGGCAGTTTAGAGTCCTCGTTTCTCTCTATACTCTGCAGGAGGGAAAGATGGGGCTCCCACCCACTATGAGTCTCTACTGGACAACCTAGATGACCAATACCCAGAATTAGCGGGTGAGTATCAAGATAAATGGGGTGGGTGCGCATCTACCCAGCTCCCAGCAACAGGATTTCCTGGGTCTTCCAGAGGAGCTGTGCTGGCTCTCCGGCTTGCCAGGCACAAGCCACAGTCAGAGAAGACGCACAGGCGTTCGGCGTGGCCACCAGGAACAAGGTCCCCCTTCAAGGTCTCGGAGGGTGGCCTCCCTCCCATCTAGAAACCGCTAGTGGAAGCCATAGCCAGGTACAGAAAGAGTTACGGAAACCCAGGAAGTTCCAAAATGGGGAGCCCTTCCTGAGAGACCTGTGTGCTGAGGGGTACAGCCTTCACACATATACACACCCAGGACAGTACACCTTATGGAGATAAGTAAGCCCCACTATGCTGCCGGAATATAAGCATCCTAAAGGCAGGATTGCTCTGTGTTTAGGATGCAGGTCCACATTTCTCCAGCCTGGCACACACCTTAGGGGCTCAATGCATTGCTGCTGACTGAACTCAGTGAGTGATGAAGCGGTCTGTGCAGGGGTCTGAAGGGCCTACTTCCGTTCCAGCCAGGTCCTATGACCTGGCGCACCACAGCCAAGTGGCCCAGCTGGACTTGGATCCAAGGGGACTGGTCCTGACCTCTGCATTATCATCAACTGCAAACACACAGCCGTCCAGCAGGACTCCTCTTTCAGAATCTGGCCTTACTAAGAAGTTACATCAGCAAGAAGGGAAAGGTCACAGACAGGATGTGTGGCGCACCCCCCCCCCCACCTCCCTGCCCCACATTTGAGTGCAGAGAAAAGGATCCAAGGACAAAAACAAGAAGACTGAGGGGGCAGATGTCCCTGTGGGGCAGTGACAGCAGGCTTCTCTTGAGGTTTCGGGTCCCTGGGGAATAAGGCCCTTGGGTTGGCTGCAAATGCCTCACCCCCTACCCCGCTTAGCCCCAAAGTAATCTGTCCTTGGCTATCCACAGTGCAGATAGTAACAGGGTTCCCCTCACCCCACCTCAGAGGTTCAAGGACAACCCAGGGTTACACAGCAGGAGAGAGCTATTCATTCTCTCTCTCCCTACACACACACACACACACAGATGAGGCACTGCACACTCATGAGACACTCAGTCACCTATTTCCGCTGATCCCATCTCCCACCAGACAGGACAGTCAGTGGGCACACAGTAGGCTGTGGTCTAAAGTAAACTCTTTAATTGAGCATGTATGTCTTTTGTTAATCTGTAGGGTGAGAATTACCCTCCTTACTCCCAGTCCCAGGTACAATCTCATCTTGGTCAGGCTGTCGGTGAGAGGTTAGGGTAAGTAAGAACAGGCCCATGGCCTCCTCAGGGCAGGGAGCTCAGACCTGTGGAAGGAAGGAACCACAGCACAAACTGGTGATCAGCAGGGTCCCAGAGGGTCTGCCCTTCCCAATCCCACCCGCGCTGCCCCAGCTGCTCACCGTGATTGTATTTGCACTGCTTCAGGGCCTCGCTGAAGCCCTCGCACAGGGTTAGGTCACTCTGAGTGGTGGAGCAATCCAGGAACTGCTTGATCTCATAGGAGCAGGGCCCCATCTGTTGGGGGTAAGAGGCAGGACGGGCAGGGGCCTAGGGCAGAGTATAAGAGGCAACGCTGTCAGCTCAGGGTTGGTAGCCAGAATGAAGTACCAAAGTTAGAATCTTCCTGCCCCTCCCCACATCCATAGCCCTGGTTCCCCAAGAATGGTTCAAGGCAGACCAAGTGACCTGAGACTAGATTTGCCCCAGTCCAGCCTCAGCTGCATCCCTGGTAGAGGATGAACCAGGGGCCCTCTATAGGTAGACACTTACAGAATCAGACAAGCTTTTCTTTCTGCCTCAAAGTGGATATGCTGGGCAAATGTAGGAGGGGGAAGAGAAGGTTCTAGAAGAAGCTGTACACTGCATGTGTACACAGAGTGTATGTCCTACTCCAAGACACAGCACCTTCCTGGCTCAGCCACACTGATCTCATGACTCAGGACACACTGCTAACTAGCATCCAGGTTTGGCTCCCCAGCGGTGGGGAGTGGCAGAACCCTAGTGGGGCACAGGTCACCAGGGAACAGATATCATGATGGCAGGCTTGGCTTTGGTGAGAACAGGGGCTTGGGAAACACCGCCTGTCTCCCTGCTCCACTAGGGTTGGGTGTCCTTGGACAAGTCTTTGGGCTCCTCTGAGCTTGCGATTTCTCCATCTTTCAGGGTCTAGTGGGAGTCAGTGTCTGGCAGTCAGACATTTTGCCCTCAAACGTGGGCTGGGGAGAGCTTTCCAGCTAGGGACAATACACTTAACAAGCATGAGGGTTAGGACCCTCTTTTGGTCAAAGTTCTGGGCCCGAGGCAACGCTGAACGCACTGGGTCACCCCTCGCTGGACATTTAAGCGGATCCCTTTGTATCCTTGAGCGAATACCGTCTCCGTTTCTCCTGCCTTCTCTCGCTCACCTGCTGGACCGCAGGCTGAGCAGGCTCCGAGCTTCCCCCACTGAAGGCGCTGGTCAGGGCATTTCCCATGACATGCCCTACAGCCGATCCCACAGCTACGCCAGCAGCGGTGGATGCCATCTGAGCCATAAGGCCCGGCTGGCCCGAAGCGGCAGGTGCCGGGGCGGCCGCTGAGGGCGGTGGGTGCGCAGGAGGGTGGGCTGGGCGGCTGCAGGAAGCAAGGGGAGGCAAGGTTAATGCTCTGGGAACAAGCGCCTCTGCTCCCCTGTCTTAGACTCGTGTTTCTGTGCCCTTGGTGCTCCCCGAAGCCAACATGGCGCAGCAGCCTCCAAGGTCATTCTGCGGATGCCCTTGGGAGAGTCCCCACGTTTCCCTCACCCATCCCCACGGGGTGCCCGTCCCCCTCACACCTGGCCGGCCTGGCAGCCGTGCTGCGACTTCCCCGAGGCATGACAGTGGTAGGACCAAGGAGGAGCAGAGAAATAAGCGTGGACAGAAGCAACCGCTCAGTGCGGGAACTAACGCTTCAGCGTCCGACGAGTCAGGTGAAACGGGAGGGATCTGGGGCGGGGCCTTGGGGACACGCCCACAAATGGGAGGGGAAAACCTCCCCCTTCTAGAAACCTCCTGGGTTAGGGCCCCTGAGCCATCCTATTGCGGGGCGGAGCTATGAGGGTCCAGGAGACACCAGTCCAAGGTGTAAGCCCCAAGACTGAAGCAGGTGCAGCGAGCAACGGGCCTTTCTGCTAGGGCCACCGCAGAACCCAAGGGGTTTGTCTCGAGATCGGAGCAAAGAAGAGACACACAGACCATCAGCCGAACAAGGAATGGAGGTTCCAGGCCTGGCTTCACTCCCTGACTCGCTGACAACAGCCCTCCCAGGATCGCCAGAGGTCTAGAATCAGTGGTGTGTTATTAGAATCCGAGTGTATAAGATCCGAGGTGCCTCGATCCTTTTTCGACTCTCGCTGCATGCTGAAATCCTTGAGTTATGACTTTCCCAGGTATGCCCAGGACCCTAAACCCTTAGACTACCACCCCACAATCCCCTGGGCTCCTGGCATCCTGGGATACATCTCCAGAAACTGGGAGTGCTTTTGAAATAGTCAAAATGTCCCAGAAGTGACCTGAGTTCTTAGAGATGTTTATCAGACAAACCAAGCCTTATCAGTTTTAGCACCATTGACTTTTTTTTTTTTTTTTTTTTGATTTTCTGAGACAGGGGTTCTCTATATAACAGGCCTGGCTATCCTGGAATTCGCTTTGTAGATCAGGCTGGCCTCGAACTCATGGAGATCCTCCTGCCTCTGCCTCCCGAGTGCTGGGATTACAGGTGTGCGCCACTACCATGTCACCCAAACCATGTTTCTTTTAGCAGCCTCTGTAGCCAGCCCTCTTCCACCAGGACGTCAGCTCTCTTCTGAAATGGAGTCATCACGTATCCACAGGGTGGATTTCCTGGAGAGGCGAGCAGGTAAAGGATGAGACACTCTTTCCTCAGAGAAATGCCCCCAGCTTTGCTCAGGACCACTGGTTTCTAGGTATGGTCTCTGCTTACCAGGTATCCAGTGGGCAAATGGTAACATCCTTCCAGGTTCAACTTCTTCTGAAGGCGTCTCTGGTCACCTGGATATATGCACCCATCTACCCTTCCAGATCCTGCAGCAGGGGTGGTAATGCTTTAACCTCTGGCTGGTATGCTTCAGGTCCCTCAAAACACGGCCATGCATCCCTGGCAACACTGAAGGCTGTTTATGTGCAGCACGAATAAATGTTTTAGGGTTTGGGGGTTGTATTTTTTGTTGTTGTTAAGACAACTTACAGAGATCCACCTGCCTCTGTCTCCCAAGTGTTGGGATTAAAGGTGTGTGTCACCACATCCAGAGAATGGGTTTGTTTGTTTGTTTTTAAGATTTCTTTATTATGTATACACACACCAGAAGAGGGCACCAGATCTCATTATAGATGGTTGTGAGCCACCGTGTGGTTGCTGGGAATTGAACTCAGGACCTCTGAAAAAGCAACCAGTGCTCTTAACCTCTGAGCCAGCTCTCCAGCACCAGTTTGTTTTTAAAGTGCCATGCTTTCATGTGTATCAGAAAATGTATGAACACCTCATCCATTTCATGATTTCTTTCCTTCTTTTGTTGTTTTGTTTTTCAAGACAAGCTTTTTCTGTGTCGCCCTGAGTGTCCTGGAACTTGCTCTGTAGACCAGGCTGGCCTCGAATTCACAGAGATCCATCTGTCTCTATCTCCCAAGTTTGGGGATTAAAGGCATGAGCCACCACAGCCTGACCATTTCATGATTTCTTGACCAGTATTGCTACAATGAGGCGGAGCCAGACCTTGAAAGTCTAGACGTGACGATATGTGTTTGTAATTCCAGTATTCAGATAGGCTAAGACCAGAATCTTAAACTGGAGGCCTGCCTGGGCTTCATGTATGCATAGGAGAATCTGTCATGAAAGAAAGACAGGAAGGAAGGGAGGGAGGGAGGAAGGTATCAAAGAGGGAGGGAGGAAGAAAAAAGAGAAAAAGAAGGGCCAAACAGGAAAGGAAGAGGGAAAAAGCGAAAGAAATGCCAGCTATTAAAAGGTGAGGCTTTTTAAAAGATTGCAGAAGACCAATTGCAGTGCTCTCTGGCCCCCACCTTGCAGCATCTCAGGGTCCTGCCTGCCTGCCTGAATCTTAGCTTTGAAGGTTTGCCAGTAGAGGCCCCTTGTCATCATGAGGGTTTGTACACTGTGTGAAGATGTATTTGCTGCGATTGGTGTAATAAAAAATTGAATGGCCAATAGCTAGGCAAAGATATAGCGGAGATTTTGGGGGAGAGAAGGGAGGAGGAGATCCGGAAAGGAAACAGGAGATGAAACTCCACATGACAGAACATAGATTAATATAAATGGGTTCATTTAAGTTATAGGAGAGAGTTAGGAACAAGCCTAAGCTGTAGGCTGAACTTTCGTAATTAATAATAAGCCTCCGTGTTGTAAGTTGTGAGCTAGCTGGTAACCCAAGGAAAGTCTGCCTGTCCAGTTGGGCACCCCCTGCAGAGGCGAGAGTGGATGAACCTTTCCAGCATGTGACCCCCACTCTCACCTTTGATTCTCTCCTTCATGTCTCAGATGACTGACCTGACCTGACTGGTCAGGAAAACCCCGTTGGCCAGGGCCTGAGCCAGGGGACAACCTGGGCCTCCAGTGCCCGACTCAGACATCCTCTTATGTCTTCCCTCCTCCCAGGCATCTGACCCATTTGTCTGGCCCCTCCCACCAAGATCTTCAGTAATTGTCTCCGGTCTGCTATTTTTGTGTGTGCATAGGATCCTTGAAGATCCGAAGAAGCCATCAGATTCTAGGATAGCCACCGTGTGGGTGTTAGGAATGGGACCCCGGTTCTCTGCAAGAATGCTTGTTGCTCTTAATCACTGATCTTTCTTTCTAGACCCTGTCTCTGGTTTTTTGTTTTGTTTTGTTTTTTTGTTCTTTTTCTGAGACAATCCTAGCTGTCCTGGAACTAGCTCTCATAGACCAGACTGGCCTCGAACTCACAGAGATCCACATGCCTCTGCCTCCCCAGTGCTGGGATTAAAGGCGTGTGCCACCACCACCCAGGGGGATCGCCTCTGGTTTGTTTTAAGGTGAGGGGCTGGCTAACTTCTGCCACATGCCCTAGTTTCTCCAGAGGTGGTATTTCAATAGCCGGTTGCCTGCAGGAGCTATTGTGCTACTTTCCTGGTGGATTGGTTAGGACTGTGGGGATAGGGGATGTGACCACCTGTCACAGGCTAAAAAAGTCAGACAGAGGTCAAGCCACCATGGAGACCTGGCAGAGGATGACACTTCCGAAAGTGGGGTTGGAGAGCAGGAGGAATAATCTCTCCTCAGCTCTCACCAGGTCTAAGGGGTCCAGCCCCTCAAGGCACTCCTCCCAAACCCAGGCCGGGAAGGCTGGCCGGTTGAGTTTAGAACAAAAGGCAGGGGAAGGCGGAGCGGTGGGGGGTGCGGTCCCGGCGCCGGCGGGGGCGGGGCGAACACTATAAGGGGCGGCGGCCCGGCGCGGCCCAGCAGGCCCAGCAGCCCCGGGGCGGATGGCACGGGCAGCCTGTCTCCTCCGCGCGGTCTCGCGCGCCCTCCTGCTCCAGCTGCCTCTGCTGCTGCTGTTGTTGCTGCTGCTCCTGCCGCCGCCGCTGATGGCCCGACCCAGGCCACCGGTGAGTGCCCGCTCTCCTCCCCGAGGGAGGGCTGGGCACGCGGGCTGGGCCCACTGGTTGAGCTTGACCCATAGAGCGTCCTGGCTACCCTAGCACAATCGGTCCCCGAAATGCCTTTTGGGTCTTTCTGGCTTTGATAATGAGCTTCCCGTCGCTGGCAGTGTGCAAGTGGAGCCTATGCGGCTGGTTAAGTGAGACTGTGCGCTGGACTCAGCTTGGGGATCTGCTTCTCCAGCCCCAGCCAGGGATGCAGGAGTGTGTGTTGGTAGAGGTAGCAAAGGGAGTGGGTACCAGGGCTCCTTGTTCATCACAGGAAGGAAGCCAAGCAAGTCTCAGCGGGGAGGTCGGGGGTGGCAGCCTCCGGTGAGCACCCCGGCAAGGTATGTACATGGATGGAGAATAAAGGAAGAGCTAGGGAAGGAGAAAATGGGGCCCAAGTTGAGAGAGGTGCCCCACCTGCAGGAGGTGAGTTTGGGAGACTTGGGGCCAACAAAGAATGCACGTGAGAGAGACAGTGTGTATGAGCATCAGGTGGCAATCAGAATAAGAGGGGGCACTGAAACTGGGTGCTGTAGTCACTCGGAACAAAAATCACGGAGAAAGGAAAGGGGTGCAGAGAAGGCAAAAGGAGAAGAGGGATTGAGGGACTCACAGCCTGTGTGTCCCAGTGGCTACATCCTTCTGCCAGGGTGGTCTTTGAGGCACCTGTCACAGTAGCTGAGCTGGGGCTTGAGCAGGGACCAACAGTACCCACTGGGTACTCTGCTTCCAGCCAGCTCAAAGAATGATGGGAGAAAGGTATGAGAGACAGGCAGGTGTCCTGAGACTATCCCTTGGTCTAGCCACACTGGCCTTGGGAGCAAAAAGGTTTGGAAAGGGGGTTGGATATGGAAGGGGATCGTGGATCAGGAGCCCTTTAGACAGAGTATGAATTTCCCTGCCCTAGAACTTGGAACAAAGTCGCTAACACCCCTGACCCCCGAACCCCTACCTCCACCACTGCCTTGGATTGGATTCATGCATTTGGGAACTGGAGAGATTTTTGAACCATGAAACCTTGCGTGAATGCCCTCCCCCTGACCCCTCGATCTATAAAAGGGACAAAGCAGTAGGGAGCACCAATGTCTACTGTTGGCATTTAGGATAAAATGAGGCAAGGCCAGGCACACTGGAGAGACAGGGTTGTTAGCTGTTAGCTGTAGCCACTCTGATGCTTGCACCGGATAGGGTCTCAGCTGAGGAACTGTCACTCTAGAGACACCTCTAGTGTTTTTATCCCTAGATGTCCATCAACAGGGTCAAAAGAATTCTGTAAATATTTATTCAGCCCAGCCCCCAGCTTTCTGAGTTGTTGAAAGCCCCACAACCTAGTGGCCAGGGAAACCTGCCTTCCCTTCTGGAGCCAGCGGGGGAGGGGGAGGAGGGGGTGATTAGAAGCACAAGGATGGAGTCTGTGTACCAGTTGAGTGTGTGACTTGGGCTATTTTCTTGCCTTCTCTGATGCTCCCCTGCCTCAGCACAGTCTAACCAAGTGACTGCCTCACAAGGTTGCCTCCTACAGACCCGCACTGTCCCCATTAAATGAAAAGCAAACTGAGGTTCAGGAAGGGACACCACCATCCTGGTCTTCCCCAGTGGCTTCCTAGTCTGGGGTCCTTCCCATGGACTGGATTGGGCAGTACTCCTAGGACTGACCTTGGGTGTCTGAGCTATGTCAGGAGACCGGGTCAGCCAAGAGTCCCTTGAGTGTGTCTGAGGCTGTGGATTGGCATCTGCCAGGCCGGAGGAGGGTGAGGCAGAGTGAGTTAGGCCCCTCCACAGGCCAGGCCAAAGGAAGGCTGCTAACTGAGAAAGAGGGAGTGCACTAGAAACAGAAGTGCTTCTTAGGAATGTGAGTCTTGGAGACAAGCCAAGCTGGTGGGGAGCCGGTGAGTTCTGAGGAGAGGCATCAGCCCCAGGTCTGACCCCAGCTCTCGTCTGGCTTGCTGTGTGATCCTAGGCTAAGTCTTTAATTTCTCTGGATTCTGTTCCATGCTCTAGGATATTGGGTATTTAGGATAAAATTAGAATAGTGACTGCTCCCCCAAAACTTTCGAGAGCTATAGGTGAGGCCAGGGGTTCTCTGAGCTTACCAGTCTAGCTGTTTGGAGTCCTAGGAGGACTGAGAATTTGGGAAGAAGAGATTCCCCAGTGTGGGAGTACAGGACCTAAAGAGGTAGAGTCTGGGAAGGACCTCTCCATGTAAGATGCAGCTGCCGGGTTTACAGGATGCCTCTCAGCTCCTTCTGGCACTACTGCCGTCTGAAAGATGGAGATGTTGAAGCTCAGCAAAGACAGTGTCCGGGTCACCAGTGATAGAATTCAGAAGTTCACAGCTTCTGGCCATGACCTTGGTGTCTCTCAGGGAAGGAAGTGGTGGAGATGGGAAGGGTTGTGTCCTTTACCTTTCCTTTCATGGCTTCTATGCCAGCCTCACTGGGTGGCAGAGAAAAGACACCAGGCTGACAGGCTAGACTTTGAGCTGGGAGGGGCTCCTGGGGAATGACAACACCCTGCCGTTCTTTGAGAGGGTCACTAGACTGTCCGGAAGAGCTGCACAGGGGGCTGGAGAGATGGCTCAGAGGTTAAGAGAACTGACTGCTGTCCCAGAGGTCCTGAGTT